ACATACCTTCAGTTTTCTGAGGCACGTGAGGCACTTTCTGAGGTTTCATAACTTGTTGGAGGCCACTCTGCTGGCGTGGGGCACAGCCCAGGCTCAAACCCAGGGCAGACACCAAAGCCGATGGGTTCGACTCCCATGAAAGCAGGACCTTTGTTTTATGAAAGTCCACAAAGACTTTTGCACTTGGAGTTTCCTCAGGCTATGACCTGTTCTCAGAGGGCCTCTTGCCTTACTCCATAGAGGGCAGCTGGAGCGAAATGCCCTGGTCCTCTGGTGCCTGATATTAGCTGCAGAATCTGATAACCCAGTAGACCAGTTGGCCAAATGCCTGATGCCCTGGTGATGAGGCCGTGCATTTTTAAAAGTAGTCAAAGTAAGCTTTTGTAACAGCTGTCAGGCTGAGCCATCTTCAGTAATAACCTACTGCCAAGTAATAGGATTCCCTCCAAAGACGGGACATAATGACCCTCTCCAGCTAGCTCAGGGTGTCGGTGGCTATATGATATGGGAAATCCAAATGGAGGCAAGTAAGACTGCTATAAAAATACTGAAGCCAAGCCATTATAGGCTCTCAAGATCGTACGTTTCTCTAAGAGCCAAAGAAAGGACCAGTGCATAGGACAAGTAATTTCCCCCAGATGTCAAATAGACTAGAAAAACACTCAAAGTTCAAGTCCCAATCCACCTACATTTCCTGGGAGTTTATTAAAAATGTAGATAACTGGGCCCCACTACCTTCTGAACCAGATTCTGTATGGTTTGAGAAACTGCATAAAGAGCATTTTTTTCCTTCCCATAACCATAGCCATACCAAAAACCCGTTGCTGTCGAGTCGATTCCGACTCATAGTCTAACTGATAGGACAAAGTAGAACCACCCCATAGAATTTCCAAGGAGTGCCTGGTGGATTTGAACTGCTGACCTTTTGGTGAGCAGCCATAGCACTTACCCACTACGCCACCAGGGTTTCCCAACAATAGCCATAGCCATCACTGAAACAACTTCAACACCAACTCAAGGCCAATCTTGTTTCATCTATAACCCTTCCCACTCTCCTCTCCTCTCCAGTTGCCTTCAGTTGATTCCAACTCATGGCGAACCTCCACCCAGGGTGATTTTGAAGCAAATCCCAGCATGTCTTTTTTTTTTTTTT